GTGTTTCTGGCAGCTGCCCTGTCCGCTGGCTCTGTCAGCGCGAAGTCCTCTGCTGGCACATTGCCCGGCCATTCCCAGAGCCCAGCTCTTATTCATTGACTGGGTAGGATTACAGGAACTGGGGGAAATGCAGAAGTGAGGCCGTATTTGCCACCAAACTGGTTTTGGCTCCTAGTTTGTTTGCTGCTTTCCCACTTCCCAGGGTCGCTGGAAGTGGCTTTCCTTCACGCTGATGCTCTCCAGGTTTTGCCCTGGGGCAGAGCTGTGACGCTTACGTGGCACTGAGGGGGGCAACAGGAGTGTAAGCCAAGCTCATCCTAAACTTTGCAGCATCAAAGGCTCTGATCCAGCCTACCCTGCCCTGACCAGTTTATTACAGGGGGAATTTCTTGTTACTCTGGGTCCCAAATGCTGCTTGCACCCAGCTCTGAGGCAGAAAGCAGCAAGACTCAGCAGCCTGGGAAAGTGATATCTTGGATAACCAGCATCGTTCACATGCTCTCACATTTCCCTGGCCTCTTGCTGAGCTCTTTTCCTTCTTTCTGAAGCGGGGCTTGGTCAGGAGCGTTGGTATCAGGTTTTGTTGCTCAGGGATGAGCCAGGAAGCGGCTGCATTGCCCACCCAGGGCAAGACCTGGAGAGCTCATGACCCTCCACCACGGAGGGTCAGACTTCCCCCTACACAGCTGCTCAACTCCCAGTTTCCACACAGAATTTAATCTTCCCAACCTGATCATCCCTCTGCTGAGGTCTCTCCCTCGGGTCTTCTCCTCGGAGCGACCCAAGGAGCTGATCCCCCACCAGATGACACTTGGATGAGGGCCAGCCTGGGGGCTGTGTCAGGACACAGGGTCACTGCCCCTCTCAGAGGCCCCCCCGGGTGCTGGAGGACACTCACACACAGCAGCTTGTCCAAGCACACAGCAGAGCCAGGGATGTGCTCGTGCTGAGCAGAGCCAAGAGAGGCAGGGTGGTGTTACTTCAGGACACGGCTCTGGCCTCCTCTGCTCCCTGCAAAGGGTGGAATGGGTTTTTTGCCTTTTTCTCTCCTTTTTCCATCCTGGCTGTTTGGAAGTGCAGGGCAGAGCTGATCCCCAACCCCCTGAATGGGACCACCGTTATGAGCAGCAGAACAGTGAGGATGAGGAGCAAGGTCTCATGCTGAGGTTTGGGCTGAGTGTCCCACGAGCATGGGGCATTTCTGGCTGTCTGTTCATCCCTGTGTGTTTATTATTATGGTGTCTAAGCTCTTGTCTGCTCCAGTGCTGGGTACCAGACAGGAGCAATCCTGCCAGCACTGGTGTCTGTGCTGCCAGTTTTCATTTCCTTCCTAGTTTGGCTATTTTGTTTAAATCTCCAGCTCCTGGAGACAGGTGAATAAGGGCAATTCCCAAGTTCCATGTTAAGCAGAGGGCTGTGGTGCTTCTGGCTGCAGAGGAAGCAGGTCCCTGGGCTGCTGGGGGATGCAGGTAGCACTGCAGTAGAACAAGCTGTGGACTACAGCTCTTTGCAGGTCAGACACAGTCTCCTTGTGCAGGTACAACTTCAGTGGGACCAGCATTCCCTTTTTTTGTGTGTTTGCCAGGACAGCATTTCCAGCTAGATTTTGGAGTGACTGTGTTGCCCTGGGGATCAGAGTAGGGGTAGGATGGAGTGGGAGGGGATGGGATAGGTGGAAGCCCCATTCAGTTAAGGGTCTGTCCTGAAGATTGTTCTTAATACCTGTAAATCCTACAAGTTGGTTTCACTGGGTGCTTAAGGGTCTCTTAAAGAAACCTTGGAGCAGTGTCCTTTCCTATTCCCAGGTCTGCTCCTGCAGCTTCAGCAGGCAGGGTCAGGCCAGTCCACATGATCCATCCATTGCTTGGAGCACTCCAGCACCTGGACCTGGAGCTGAGCGTTTGGGAGCCGTGGTTTATCCGGGTATTAGCTGGAGCCTTCGGATGGGCTGAGCTCAGCCCCCCCAGCTGCTCCAGAGCCTTCCTCCCACGCAGCCCTCCCCAGAGGCACTGGATGCACAGAGCTCTCTGCAGGAACCAGGCACAGCTGTGAGCAGCCTCTGCCTGCACCGGGCACCCTCGGTGGTCCAGGGGCCGTGTTCAAGGTGCTGGGGGGGTGACTTGGGATGATTTCCCATCCCACCCCTTTTCCACCTCTGCATTATCAAGTCCCATTCTCTATTGCTCATGAGAAGCTTCCACTGGCCCCCTCCAGCCCCTGGGGGGAGCAGAAGCTGATACAGACCTGGCCCTTAGTGAAGATTTCGACCTCAAAGCCCACATCCTCATCCATGACAGCATCATGCAGGAGGCTGTAAAAGCAGGCATGTGGCACAGGATTGTGTCCAAAAGCAAACAGCTCATGCAGGAGCAGCCTGTAGCAACCATGCAGTGCCTGTGGTTTGTTGCAGCACAGCCTGTCCTTTGCACTCCAGGAAGGTAAAGCCAGGGAAGGGGGAAGTCTTGCTTCCAAGCCCACACCAGCACAGTGACTCCCAGTAACCCCAAGGGCCACCATCCCCTGTCACCCCACGGCGCTGGGGACTGTGTTCCTGGAGCAAAAGTCTCCTGGGCTGGGGGCAAACAGCCTGTGTGGAATTAAAATCCTCCTGAGGGCGATGTCTGGCAGTGATGGAGGATGTGCTGGGGGTTGGATTCAGATGAAGTGGAGGACTGGAGGTGTTCAGGCATCCTCGGTATCTGGAGGGCTCCTAACGTTACCGAGGGGCAAGGAAGGAGCCAAGTGAGTGTCTTCTGGGATTGCATCTCTCATGCCTGCATTCCCAATACCAGGGCTCCTGCATACCTTCTCCAAGACCACAGCAGAGCTGCAAAGCACTTCCTCTTACCAGGATATTTATTGCTAAATATATGAATCTGGGAGCCTGTGGAGCGTGAAATTAGGAACAAATGTAAAAAGGAGGTCTAGACAGGAATTGTTCAGCTTATGGGCCTCTGCATGCTCTGCTTTCCTCCCCCTTTGCACTCTGGAGGGTTTAATGCTTCCAGGTACGCCGCTTTAATCAGAGAAGTATGGCTTGGGAGGAAAAAAAGGACGAAATGCAAATGGTCTTGCTCTGGAGGGAGCAGTGGCTGCAGTGCCACGTCAGGCTGGGCGCAGCTGGGCAAGAACCGTGAAAATTGCCTCTGTGCAACCCTCACTTTTCCCCCCAGGGTTTAATTAATGGGTGAGAAAGCCGTGGAGCCCTCCCTGGCAGACCCCTGCCTGCCACCTCCCATAGTGGGCTGGCAAGGAGATGATGATCCTCTCTGATGGGTGCAACACCAGTCCCTGAGAGGCTGCAGGGCTGAGTCCGGCCACCCCTGAGCCAGGTCCTGGTGCCAACCCTGCACACCCTGCCCTTGGCTCTGGGACAGCATAGGGATTGCAAATGGGAGCAGCAAAAGACTCGTGGATGGGCATTTCCAGCTGGTACCCCCGAGGTCTGCAGCCAAGCAAATCCATCCCTCTTTAAACAGCACCCAGAGTTTCTAAATCACTAATGCACTATTTCCAGACCCTTCCCATGGCCATACTGCTCCCCCTGAGCCTCCTAAGAGCATTTTGCCCAGGGAATGAGGGCAGGATTTGGCCTGGCTCTTGCCCCGTGGCCTCACGGTGTGAGAATCCGTTCAACCCTGGGTATAAATTCCCTTCCCTCCTCCCGCTCTCCTCAGCAGCAACATAAAACGTGACACTGCTTTATCCATTCAGCACTCACCCAACTTTAGCAGGACATTAAGCGCCTGAAAATATGGCACGGATTTATTTTCTTTGGAAGCAGGTTAAATCCCTGACAGATACAGTTGCTTTTCCTCGGGTGCTGAAGTAATTTGGGGCTGGGGTGACTGGTTTTTTGGTTTAACCTGATAGCATGAGCTGGAGGCCAGCTTTGTTAAAGCACTTGTAGAGTAGGTGGTCAGGGTTTGATTTTCTCTCTTAATTTATGTCTCTTCTCCTGTTCCCAGCCCAGTGTTTGCAGCACTAAAGGGCTACTGGAGCTTTAGTGTTAGTGCTGCTGTCTCCAGAGCCGCTGGCAGGTGTGAGCAGGCAGGTACACGTCTCCCCAGCATCCTTCCTGTGGCAAAGAGCCGTGTCTTACCCTGCGTGGGATGGAGAGGAATTCAAGTGAACCCAACAGTGCCAGGAGCAGGGATCTTCCACTGCTACCAGTGCTGTGTCAGCAGATTCCTCACAGATTCCTCTAAAGGGCATTCCAGGCAGAGAAGGGTGCTGGTGGTACCCCAAAGTGCATGCATGGGGCCAAGCTGAGGCACAGTGTTTCTGTGATGATCAGTGCACTGTGTCCCAGCCACACCATTTGTGAGCAAACAGCTCCCCCATGGCTGTCAAAAACAGCATCCTGAGGTGCCCCCAACAGCCCCCCAAACACTGGTTTGGTGAAGTGGAGGAGCCTGATGCCTCAGACACATCCTGTTCCTCAGCTTGCTGCTCAGGGAGGGGAGCATGCCTGTCCCTGCAATCATTAAGGGCTCACTTAGCAGCTCCAGTCACTCCAAATTAAAATATCACATTGTTTTCATGGGGAAAATGGATTATAGGCTCATAGGAAAATGTGTACAGCTCAGAAATCCTTATTGCAAAGCCCCTTGTCCCATCACCAAAGCTCTCTGCCACCAGGCAGGAGCTGGGAGGGTGCCACGAGCCTGGGTCAGAAGGTTTTATTTCCCTCGGGTCCCCCCTCCCGTGTGCAGAAGAGCCCCATGTGACCCCAGAGCTGCTTCTCACTCAAACTCTCAACCACTTCATGAAGGATTTTTTTCCCTCTTGCACCTTCAAGGTGGTATTTAAGGGGGATGGGGACTCCCTGATGATTTCCACAGGTGCCCAGTGCCAGGCTCTGGCCTTATCGTGCCCTTCCTCTCCCAGCTCCTGGTTTCTAGCCCCCTGCAAATGGGGGTGAGAGTAGGGTTTGGGGCTCTGCCTGACCCAGTTCATCACCAGCCTCACCCTATCACCCCGTGCACTCGCTTTTGCAGGCTGTTAATGGAGAAGAGGGCGGATGACAGCCGGGACTGTGGTCATCACAGGTGGAATATTAGCAACTGTCATTTTGCTATGTATCATCGCCGTCCTCTGCTACTGTAGGCTCCAGGTAAGGCTGGGGGATGTGACCCCAAAGGGCGCTGCAGTGGAGAGGGGACTCCACTGGTCCTCAGGGCTGGCTGGCACGCACGGAGCAGGGGCAGGGTGGGGGGGTCTGGAGCTGCCAGCTGAGCCATCCCCTTTTCAGTATTACTGCTGCAAGAAGGATGAATCCGAGGAGGACGAGGAGGAGCCCGACTTCGCCGTGCACTCCCACATCCCGCCGCTCCACTGCAACCGCAACGTAGTGCTGACCAACGGCCCGTCCCTCTACGCCTCGTCCCCCTTCAGCAAGAAGGCGACCCCGAGCCGCTCCAGCTGCCCCGGCTGCGGCCCCTACGAGCCCCCCACCTTCTTCCTCCAGGAGCCTCCCGAGGAGCTGCACAACGGCGGCGACCGGGTGAGCTACAAGACGGTGAGCCAGGAGGACCTGGCCCTGCCGGTGAGCGTGTCCAACCTGCAGGCTCTCAACCCCAACCGGCTCTCGGCCATGCGGGAGGCCTTCTCCCGCAGCCGCAGCATCAGCACCGACGTGTGAGGGGCTGGCAGCCCCGTCACACCTCCTCGCACGCGGGGAGGACTCGGCGAAATTCGTGGAAGAGTTCTGAAAAAGGAAAAAAAAAAAAGGAAAAGAAGTGAATGTATTTCTGCCAGGGCTGAAGGCAGCGACGAGCTGAATGGCAGCGTAGAGGGGTAGCGAAGCAAACCCCAAAGGAGAGTGTAGGGGAGGATGGCTGCAGCTGGGACGTGAGGTTTTCTAGAGCTGCTTTGGGTTTTGTTTTTTTTTTTTTCCCTTTTATAAAGAGGATTTTGATACTGAGCATCCTTTTCTACGGAGCATTCGCCCCTCCTGACTGTTCGGCTGGAACGCCGAGGGACGGTGAGCAAATAGTGGGGCACACGGTTGGCTGCAGAATGGCTCGTGCTGCGAGTCAGCAGCCAGCTGCTGCAGTGACGTGGGGGCCCTGACAGGCACACACATGTGCACACACACACACACACTCCCTCAAAGGTCCTCAAGCAAAGCAGAGCTGCTACTGCCCACACTTCTGCCACCCCTTCCTGCAGCTCTCTGTGCTGCAGCCATGAGAGTGTGTGTGTGTGTGTGTGTGTGCACAGCCCTGCACTATCCCCAGGCCATCTCACTCCTCAAGTCAGTCGTTAATTCCTGAGTGACAGGCACAATCCCCTCAGGGCTGGGATGGCGGGTGGGCGCACAGCCTGTCCCTACCCCTGGAGTTCCTGGAGTGACCTCACAGTCTCCTGATGGAGGGTACAAACCCATTGCATTGCCTGGCTATGAAAATAACACGCAGCACAATTTTGGATTGAGGAATACCTCTCTGAATAATCCATCCCTTTTCCGAGTAACGCCACAAGCAACTTCTAACTGAGGGCTCTGTATCACGAGGGGTCACTGTGTATGTGCCCACCCCAAGCATGCACATTTTTATATGCATTTATTTGCCTTTTTTAGTTTTTAAAAAATCCATGACACCCGTCCAGAAATGTGTGAAAACACTTTAGATTTAGGCAAAACCTCCTCTTTAGCGTTTTTCATTGAGCAGCCTGACTGTGGCACCAGCTCTGTCCCCGCTCCGCCAGCCACGCTGGATGTGGCCAGGGCAATGCTGGGAGAGCAGCAGGCACAGAGCTGGTCACCGAGCGTGTCCCTCTGCCCCGAGCATGCTGTAAAGGAACCCTTTTAGTATTTCAGTGCTTTAGGAGAGGAATTGCACATCGCAGCAACATCTGCTTGGGGACTCACGCTCCGGTCTCTCCTGGCTGTCTCCATTCCTCCCCTCCAACCTCACCATACTCCCAGTTTGTCTGACAAAAAAACCTCCCTGTTTCTCCTGGACTGTACGTTATTCAGGTTAAAAAGCATCATGCTGGACCTGGGGACGGCTGGCAGAGGATGGACTGGCTGCACAGAGACTCCAGTGGCCCCAGTGCTGTGCTCTGGGTCAGCTTTCCTTTTTCAAGATGTTGCAGGAAGAAACAGCCGTGGCTCCAGCCCCATCAGCTCACAGACACTGTGCTGCAGCCCGGCTGGGTATTTTACTTTTAACCACGAGGGCTTTTAACTCCACAGGAAATCTTTTGAAGTACAAGTCAGTCTTTGCAAATGAGTATCTTCGACTTTCTCGGGTTTCTCAGGGGGGTTCTGTTTGGGTTTGGGGGGGAGGGGGGGGTGCTGGGGTTGGTTTCGTACGTGTTTAATATTCTGGGCTTGGTCCCTGCGGTGCTGCATCCCGGGAGCACGATGGCTCTGCTCCAGAGGGATGAAACCACTCGGGCCATGCTCCCATGTACAGTTCTCACCGGGGTTTGTTTCCACGCGTTGAGCCCTTTCTCTCCCCGTTTCTCGTGACTGTACTTCTCCTCCCAGACTTCCTTCCTTCCTTTTTTTCCCCCTCATTTCTTTCCCTTTGTAGCTTGGAAACTACGCAACCGGTTGGCTTTCACTAACCTTCACCTGGTGATCTGTTGTACAAGATTTTGGGGATCTCGGGGAGGGGGGTAAGTAAAAAAAAGAAATTAAAAAAAAAAAAAGAAAATAGAAAGAAAAAAAAGGAATAAACTACTTTGACATGGGCTTTGAGGAGCTTCTTTTTGTCCCTGCACCTGCGAACATGGGGTGGTGTTTGTGAAGCTCTCGTGTGGACATAGGATGTCCCTGCTGCTGAGGGGAGCAATGCAGCAACACTTGGGGTGCACACCCCAGTGTGAGTGGTGAGCCTTTAGCCTGGCACTGGGGGGTTACACCTGGAGAAACACAGAGCAACAACCCTCTTGGGAACTCGGAAAGGCACTTTTCTTACTATCATCATATCAAGTCTCTTTGCTCAGAAACTCCTGAGGAGCTTCAGGGTTGCAGTTCCTGAAGCCACACACACACACAGTCCTAAAGCAACTGAGAGCAATGGCCCCAAGATCCCCCAAAACTGTTGGGACTTTTGCTTGCATCACTGTCCAAGCAGCCACGATTCCCCTGACTTCAAGCTGCTCTGTTTCCCCTGGGCACCAGCAAGTTTGCAGCCCTGACTCCAGTGTTCCCAGTACCCCACTACAAACTGGAGAATAAAACAAAATACCACCATAAATATGACAACTTTATTAAAATATACATATGAGTACAAATTAATGATTATATGGATAAAGTTCACTGTCTGTAAACAAATATATTAAAAAAGAGCACGTCTTTTTTGTGATATAAAGTGCAGTTATGTTTCCATATTATATACAATATGTCAGCATCGGAGGGGGGTTGTAAGGACTATGGAACTAACATTTGATTATAAGATAAAATTCTCTGAAAAAGTATACACCTACATATTACAAAAAAGGGCTTGAGTTCATTTAGCAAATGAGAATCAACTTCCCACCACTTTAAATGCAGCTAATGAGAGCGTGCAGGTCTTGGGATAAATTAGGAGAGAGGCACTAATCCCCTTGACGGAGGGAAACTTGCACTTCCCCGAGTTCACACCTTCCCCTCACCAACCCCAAACTTGCACGGAGGGAAGAAACCAAAGGACCAGACCTTGTGAAAAACACATGGATGTACCTGCAGTTTGGGGGAATCAAATATACACGACTTTATGTACAGCTCTGAGAGCGGGGGCTCCCAACGGGCAGAGGTACCGGCTCTGCGCTGAGTCGCGCCGGCACCGTGCCGGGAGAGGGACGAGGAGAGGAGTTGTGCATCGGTGGGGAAATGAAAACCAACCCCAAAGCATCCTGATCACCAGTCTGTGGGACGTGTGGCTAAATGGAACACGGAGCCCTTGCTAAGGGAGGCGCTGCCGGCACTAGGAGTGGGGCGCGCGGCAGGAGCGGCAGCAGGCTTTGCTGTAGTACCAGTGGCTGCACAGGTTCACTTTGATGGCCAAAGCACAGTTGGTCCCTGCCTGGTCCTGGCAGCTGTCATCTGGGGGAGAGAGCACAAAAGGCATGATGTGGAAAAAGAAATGAAAAATAAACCATTGCAAGCTCGTGAGCTCATTTCCCACACCCCCTGCACAGCTGCCCTAAACACCACAGGCTGCAACTGCCACATCCCTGACACCTGGCAGAGCATCCTCTGGAAAACACCAGGGAGCTTCTCAACCTGAGCAAGAAGGCTGACCCATTCAGTCACACCAGGCCTGGCTTGGGGAGCCTCATTTGGTCCCAGCCCTGAAGCTCAAGCTCTTTCCTGTGAAACGGAGCTGCCCAGGGATTGCTGGAGCCACCAAGGGAGCCTGGCATTGAGCTGCTTCCCAAGCCAAGGGCCTCCCCTGGTAGGGCACACGGTGACTCCAACATATTCACAATTTCTGCCCCAAGGAGGCAACCTGAGAAAGGGAATCCAGCAGTGCCACAGCCAGAGTTAAGGGTAAGTGAGATGCTGGGGACAGGAAAGAGGCCAGAGGCTGCTTCAGCACTCTCCCAACTCCTTTCAGAGCAATAGTTTTCTTCAAACCCATAGGATTTCCACTTTTATATATATTTTTATATATTTTTCTTAAAATCCATAGGATGCATGAAACCAGGCTGGTCACTGGGCAGGCAGTTGAATACAAGATCACCACAAGGCACCTCACAAGCTCCATGCCCCATCCTCATCCCAAGGGAGTGGGCAGCTGAGAGTGCCCAGCAAGGCCAGAGCTGAGCCAGGAGCCAGCCCCAAATCTGTCTCCCATTTTCATGCTTTTCTCCCACACCGTCCTTATTCCCAAATCCTATTAAAGGATTAGAACCGCGTGTTTGCTAAAGATCACAGGGACTTTGAGCCAGCAGACGAGTCAGATAACGAGATAGTTACAAATCCCACGGGACATTTGGAGACCAAAAATCATTAAAATAATGGCACAGATGAAACTTCCTAGGCTTAAGCTGAAATCACACAGAAACAGCACCCGAATCAGTTCTCGAAGATCCATTTTATCTGTAGCTCAGAACATGCTTCTTCTGAACTCCCCCCTTAATTTAACAGAGTTAGATTAAGAAACAACCAGTGCACCCCATTACTTGGGCACAGAGGGAGAGCTGCCCCCATACATCCTCTCTGGGATGATTATCTAACTGGGGGCAGTGGAAGCTAAGATGCTGGCAGTGCTGCTTGGGGGAATCCATGGAAAATCAAGGCCACAGGGTGCTGCCAGCAGTGGGGCTCACCTGGGGGCTCTGTGGGGCAGGGCTGCAGGTCGCAGGTCTGTTTGCCCACCGGCTTCACCAGCGGGTCGCAGCCCCGCACGATGTCCTTCCCTTGGTAGCACTTCACATCCCGCATCCTCACGCCAATTCCACAGGTTTTTGTGCACTGGGGAACAGAGAGACGGTGAGGCAAGACCCTGCCATCACAGGGGACTGTGCTGAGCCAGAATCTGCTTTAAAAAATGTGCTTGCTGGAGGTGTTAAGGCAGGAGGAGAACTCTTCTCCTGGCTGAATGCCTCGTCTCAGCACCTCAGCATTGGCCCCTTACTCCATCTTTGCTGCCAACACCGTGAGCTTCTGCCCAGGGATAGATGGATGTGGCCCCATCCTCTGGCACTGACGTCCTCCCTCCTCCTGCTGCCCTTCACAAAGGGCCACAAATAAACTGGCCCAGTCCATACACTGCTCTGTAGGACCGGAGTGGCTGCAGCCACCTCAAGGCCACGGAACCCTCCCACAGCACCCCGGGAGTGGGGCTGCTGAGTTAGTACCTCTGCACATCCCACTGTGGGTTTGTGGAGCCGCTGCTGGGCCCAGCACTCGCTGCCTGCTGCCCTTTGGATGCCTCTTCAGGCTGGGATTACAGCAGGGCTGCTTTGGCTAATTATAGGCTGCGATGATGGTTTGCAAGACTAAACAAAATGAGGCGCCTGGAGCACAGGCGAGGAAGGCTGTGTTTGGGAGGGCTTGCAAGAAGCCCACTGCCCACCAAACCCCAGCTGCCTTTCAGGCCATGCAGGGTGCTGGGGCAACCTGTGCTCTCAAGCCCTGCATCCTCTACCCCTGCTTCCCCAGGGCAGCCACCCCATGAGCAATGTGCACACCCCCAGCCACACTCCCAACAGCAGTACCAGGGAAAAAGAGGAGGGGGGGGAAATAAAGCAAAAAAACAAAGCTACAGTTGACCCCAAACAGCCCCTCTCAATCCTGTTCTCCCTGAGCACAGACAGTCCCAGTTGTACCATGGCAGGGCAGGCTCTCTGCTCCAAGTTGCCAGTGCAGCAAAACCCTCCCCGGGTGCCCCTTTGGGGACCGTGTCCTGCAGAGATTCACCCACCACCCTGGGGCTTTCTGCAGGCAGCGTGACCTTTGGTACAAGGGGACAGGGCTTCAAATGCTCAGGGCGAGCACATCTTGAAGGAAAAGCACTTCCCATCTCCCTCCCATGGATGCCCCTGGGCTCCCTCCCTGCTCACCTCTGACCAGGGAGTGGTGTACCACTTGAAGCACGGCCGCTCGAAGCACGTCGTCTCCTCCACGGGCTTCTTGGCGACGTCACAGTCAGCGGGGCTGCGGGTCTTGATCTTGCCATTGACAATCTCCAGGCAGAGCACGATCCTCTTCTTCACACCCCGGCCACACGTCGTGTTGCACTGCAGGGGCGCGAGTGGGGCCCGATGAGACCCGCGCACCCCAGCCCCACCCCACTGAAGGCGTCCCTCCTCGGTCGCCCCCCAAAACCAACCCCCTGCTGCAGAGGGGCTTCACTTACCCGCTCCCAGTCCTGTGCCAGCCAGTGCGAGGGGCAGTTCTTGTCCCCGCAGGGGTGGATGGCCAGGGGCTTGGTCTCCAGGTTGCACTGTGACTCGGGCACCACGCGCCCGTCGCTGGTTTTGCAGTACACGTGCCGGATCATCCTGCCCTGCCCGCAGCCACCGCTGCACTGAAACCACAGCGGGCACGGCGGGCGGTCAGGGGTGAGGAGGCAGCAGGGCTCCATCCCTGTCCCATCCCACAATGCCTCCCCACACCCACCTTCACCAAATCTCAGGGGGGATTATTTGGGCTCAGCTTAAAATAGTCACAGGGAAGCTCAGTGGATCCTTCCCAGGCAGCCCCACCACAGCCAACATGGATTTAATCATCACAGAATCCCAGAATGGCTTGGGTTGGAAGGGATCTTAAAGATCACCTCGTTCCACCCCCCTGCCATGGGCAGGGGCACCTTCCACTACCCCAGGTTGCTCCAAGCCCCATCCAGCCTGGCTTTGAACACTTCCAGGGATGGGGCAGCCACAGTTTCTCTGGGCAACCTGTGCCAGTGCCATGGCCCCACAGTGTTGAGCATCTCTCAGGGTAGGCAGCAGGGGAAGCACCACAAGCAGGGAACCCCAGGGTAGCTCCCAAAGAGGTCAAGGCAAGGGGGACCAAAGAATTGACTGAAAATATTCCACCCCCGCTGCCAAGGGCCAGACAGGCTCTGCCCGGAGCAGCCAGTGCTCCCCGGCGCTTTCATGGACACTCTTGCAGAGGCTCTTGGTGTTTCATAGCGCCGCTGCTGCCATGGAAACTACTTATTTTTAGCTGATGTGAATGTATCAAAACCTGGGTAAAAATAGCTTGGGATGGAGGGGGTCTTTGGAGCTGAATTGTGCAGGAAGGGGGAAAAAAGGTGGAGGGGAGGAAGAAAAAAAAAGAGAGAAAAGGAGAAAGGAGGAGGGAAAAAAAGAGGAAAGGAATAAAAGGGGGAAAAAAAATTGGGGAAAGGGAAAAAGAAGAAAAATGGAAAAGGGGGAAAAGAGAAAGGGGAAAATGGGAAAATTTGGAAAAAAAATGGAAAAGAGTTAAAAAGGAAAAGGTTCATTTTCTGGGCATGGAGCATCAGCATTGCCAAGGAATGCTGTGCAGCAGACAGACAGAGGGATTTTGACACCCACTAAGGCCCTCAGCCAGGTCTCTCAGGGTTTAACCCCTCCTGCACCACATCCCCTGCAAGGCAAGACCCTCAAGGAGGACCTAGGGAGAATCTGCGTGATCCACTGGGATGCTGGATCACGACCAGTGCAGTCAGGGTGACCCAGGGTGACAGTGCTGGCAGAGGTGACACGGGGACTGGGAGAGCCAAAGCGGCGGAATTGTTTGGAGGTTGGATCCCAGCACAGGCTGGCTGTGGGTCTGTCGGGGCTGGGAGCTACCAGGGAGGATAAACCCAACCCCAAAACTCCCAGTGGCAGAGACAAGCCAGCCTGCAAACTGTGATGGGCGGCGATGGTCGCTCAGTCGGTCGCCTGGGGGTCTCACCGGTCCCCAGTCGGACACGGTCCACTGCCGGTCACAGGGTGGCCCCGTGCAGTTCTTCTCGGCCAGGGGCCGGGCGCTGGCGTCGCACAGCTTCTCCTCCTCCGAGCAGCGGATGTCCCGTGTCACCACGCTCCGCTCTCCGCACCGGGCTGAGCACTGTGCGAGGGGACAGGGAGGGGACAGCGTCAGCCAGGGTTCCCCACATGATGGGAGCTGGAGCTTTGCCTTTGTGTTTTCTCCACACTTCAACATCAAGCTCTAAAAGCACACGCTGAAAACGCACAAATGACTCTTCCCCCGAACCCCCTCGACAGCTTCAGCAGTCAGCTCAAGGTGCAGGAGGGCTGCATCCTGCCCGGGTGCTGTGCTCTCTGACAGGCAATGCCAGAGGGTGGGAACCCAAGGCTCCAGAAATGCCTGATCAGAGCTGAACAGTTTTAGCTGTCACTTAGAGACAGGGTGAGATCTCCCTCGCCTCCTTCCCAGGAACAGCCAGCTCTTTTCCCCCTCTTTGGAGAATGTTTTCCCCGGGCCGCACAACTGAGATTTTTATGCTGCGGATAAATTTGGCACCGCACAGCCCGGTGACATTATTTAGAACTGGATTTGAGTTACTACAGTCTCACATACACACATTTGCTCCGTGCATAACGTAAAGCAGGGAAAAGTGTCAACAGCACAGCGCTCAGACCGAGATGTTAATCCTCAGAGCCCTGAAATGTGCTTTTTTTTAATGCCTATATCCCCAGCCAACTTGGCACCCCACCTCAGATGGGATCCAAAGGAGATTAGCTTTGCTGCTGGCTAAGAACAATCTACTCCAGGACTGTCTCAAGCAATCTGTCCCCGACACATGCTGGAGGAGAATACAGATTTCTGTAAAATAAGCCACTCTGGTTTGCTACGCCGGACAAAACGCGCCAGCACGTGCACAGGGAGCTCCTCTCTACCCAGCTGGGAAAGTCAAAACATCCTACACCACCAGGGAATGCACCAGCCACTCCATCAACTCCAGGGAAACTATGCACACCAGCTTGCAGAGGAACAGAGACATTTAAATTATGACTAAGATGCCTTTTGGGAGCTTCCCAGGAGGAAGAGTCATATTCCTCATGATGTAAACCATGGGGCAGGTTGGCACCCACGGACAGCTCGGCTCAGAGCTCAGTCTGCTCTTGCTTAAATAAGGTCTGTGCTTGATTTGGGAGGAAGCAGCACTGGTTTGGTCGTTTCCATGGGTTTATGTTTGTAAGGGTTGTGCTGGAGCACTGTCCGTGCCTGGAAAGGAATTCAGGGCACCAACCCTTCCCACAGGTTCTCCCAAGAAATTCAGTGAGGTAGGACAGGAGCAGCACTGTACCTTCCCAAACCATTTCAGCAGCTTCAGGGATCGGCTTAAGGCACACCTAGGAGAAGGTTTTATTCTCCATGTACTGCAGAGAAATTGGAGATGAGGAAGGGAAGTTTACAGGAATTTAATTCAGGTGTGAGGTGGAATCTCCTCCCTGGCACCTTGGGGTTGAAGAGGCTGCCAAGAAAGTTGTGGTGGGAGGATGTGAGCTGTGGGCTCCTGTCGTGCCTCAGTGTCTCAGTGACACTGTCCCACAACTGACCGATGGCAGTGACCTCCCCATCCTGTATGGGACCCAGGTCTTCATTTTAGGGGAAAAAAACCCTTTCTGCACGTTGGTCCACATGCAGTGACTGCAGTGAGCGTGCGGGCAGGCCGAGCGTCTGATGGCTGTGGGTGAGTTCACGTCGGGAAAGGAACAGAGAAGCGCAGGCACAGCCGCTGACCCTCAGCGCTGCCTGGCCAGGCACCCACCTCAGACCACTCGGACATCTCCCACTGGGGCCCACAGGCCGGGTTCTTGCAGACCTTGCGCTCGTCCGGCCGGGTGATGTCGGCGGACTCGCAGAGGTCGCTGTACACGGAGCTGTCGAACCCCGGCGAGATCATCTTCCAGCAGCGGACGATGCGGAACTGGTATCCCTCCCCGCAGGTGCGGGAGCACTCGCTCCAGCTGCTCGTCTCCCACCTGTGGAGGGAAGAGAGGGGCTGTCACGCCAGGATACAGAGCATGGCTGGAGCATCCCACGGGGAAAACCCTGCCCTGCCCTCGGCTGGAGGGAGATGGCTGCCAGAGGAGCGAGCTGTAGTCAGGCTGCCAGCACGCAGGAGGTTTTCCCGAGGGATGTGAGAGGTTTTTCCTGCGGGACGGGAAGTATGGCCATATGGTGGTTTCACCCAGCAGACCCCAGCTCGTGCCCGCAGCTAAAAACCAGCTCATCAGGAGGAAGGATGGCACAGCAAGGCCTGGCCTGGTGTCCTCGGTGACAAGTGAGCGTTTGTCACCGTGGGCTGCATGTTTCCCTGCTGTGACCCCGGCTGTGCCAGCACATTTCTCCGTCATGCTCTTTTGCCCATGTTTGACCTCTCTTTTTTGCCTGCTCAGCCTGCTCAGAGAGGACACAGAAATCCATCACCCTGCAAATCCCAGCAATAATGTCACACAAAGCTGCCTGAGCCCCGGTGGGACAGACATTCACATCCCACCATCACTCTAACTCTGCTAACCACATGTGACAGGCTGGAAGAGCTGGGATCTGCTCCAAGCACTGCCTGTCCCTTACTGTCCCCTGCCACCACTGTCCTGACAAGACAGGAGCAGCTTGTAAACCAAAGACATAAAAAGTCAAAGCTTTTCACAGTACAGCAACACTATAGCAGTTTTGAATTAAATAATGAGGTAAAAATATAAAAATCTAAATGGATCAGAATTCCCAGCTCTTCTGGATGGGGGACTGCCTCGTGCAGCCTCCGTGCCTCTCATTGCTGCCACTCTCCAAGCAGGAGAGCCCTGTCTCTGGCTGCCACAAGGCCTCACACCCTATGTGGGGCTCCAGGCACAACAAGCAGCCCTAGGGAGATGTCACACATTTAGAGGTGTCACTTAAATTCAGAAGGAAGATGAAGCCAAGGTCTTTCCCATCCAGATCTGTCAAAATTAACATTTTCTGTTGGAAAAGTGTTGCCAGCTCAAGCAGCTTCCCATCTGCCCGAGTGCTAGGGAATGTGCTGGCTGACCTGTTTGAATTCCCAGTGCTCCCCAGTTTACCCACCACTGAGCTGCAATCACTGGTAAATCACAGAGCAGCTCTTCTCCTTTACAGTGCAAACCCTTCCAGTGGAGCTGGAACAGCACAGCCATAAGGAGGATTTGCTTTATAAAAGACTAATGGGAGGATCTAAGCACAAAAAAGAGCCCTAATATTTGTGCCAAAAAATTACAGTTATTGCAAATAGAGATTACAGTCCCCATAGTGCCACAGGGCAGGTGTGTTCCCAGCAGCAGCACCATTCACCTCCCCACACTTTTTGTGCCTCAATTGCAGCCTGCCCTGACTCTCAGCCTTAACATGAGAGTCCGAGGAAATCCTATACTCCATGTGTTTTCCTCCCCTGTCTTCCTTCACAATCACCCCATGCACAGACACCCCACCAATCCAATCCTGCGTTTGAGAGAGTTGTCCAAATGCTCCTTGAGCTCTGTCAGCCTTGGTGCTCATGCCCACTATCCTGGGAAGCCTGTTCAGTCCCCAGCCACCCTCTGGAGGAAGAACCTTTTCCTAATACTCAACTTAAACCTGCCCTAACACAGCTTCACATGGACCCACAGCTTCACAGGACCCTCAGGTCCTGTCACTGGTCACCAGAGAGGAGAGATCAGCTCCTGCCCCTCTGCTGTCCCTCCTTAGGAAGCTGTAACCACAATGAGGAACTGGGGGAGGAGGGATGGGGTTGTTAGGGGATGTCCCTGCTACCCCCCACAAATCCACACCGGCCACCTCCCCCAAGGATATCCACAGCAAAGGAAGCCCCCCAGGAGCACCCTGTCGAGGTGGTACCTTGGCTGGCACTCTCTCCCAGCACAGAACTCGTGGATGGGCTCAGGACGGGTCATGGCATCACAGTACGTGTCATCCACTTCGATCCCGTCGTAGCGAACACACATCGCGTACGTGGACATCACTCCTGGTTTCAAAGAGAACACACACACACAACAGGATGCTTGGTGATTTTGACATCCAAACTCTTTTTTTGGTTTTTTTTTAGCTGCCTTTTTCTAAACTTCCTCCAGCAGCAAGCTGGAGTTTCTGTCCCAAGGGATGGATGCTGCTGGGAGGGGACAACCGCAGTGGCCACCCAGCCAGTATGAGCAGTGTGGTTGAGTTTGGCCAGCTCCAAAGCGGGCATGGCCACCCCTGCCAGGGCTTGCCACCAAAATCAATATATGACTAACACATTTTTATAGGAAATACTCAGGGCAACAAGTCTGCTTGGAAGCTCCCACCCTGCCTCGTGAGTTGAGGCGACAGAAAACGGTCCCCCAACCCGCTCCGTCCACCCATTCTCTCCGTGCATTACACCCTGTTTGCACCCAGGTGCTCCCCAGGTGCATCCAGCACTCCAGGCCAAGGCAGGGCTCCTGGAGGCTTGGCAAGGAAGCAGCTGCCCCTCCTGCTCCCCCTCCAAAAGCAGCGGCAGCCAGTGTCGTCAGACCGAGACCTTTTCCCCCGCAGCCTCCCGTGCCAGAGTAAATGTTGTGAAGTCCATTCTGGGACCTGGCTGGGGACCAGGAGGCTGCTCTGGCTACAGGTAACAAGAATTGCAGCTCTTAGGAACATATGGTTTACATGAAACTAAAAAAAAGATCTACAGCTCTTGACATGGCCTTGCTTCTCTGCGATATGTCATTGAGAAAAGGCAAGGAGAAGGGAGAAATTTAAGTAAAACCTCTCTTGGCTTGCTGCAAAACAGGGCAGAGCAGGGCTGGCCCAGTGAAGGGAGAAATTTGTTCAGAGGGGCTCAAAGAAGTCAAAAAGGTCCCAGGACATGTGGATGACAAGATCTTGGGGAGAGGGATGACTTGTAAAACTCCTGCTGTGGGCAGGAGTCTGTTGGGCAAGAAAAAAATGCTGAAAATATAAAATTCTTGCATCTGCTCTAAGAGAAGTCCCTTAGATTGTAAACTCCTCTCTCCCTCCTCTTTCCTTCTTTCTAATTCCAGAAGCACCACAGGATCTGGATTATTTCAGGGACAGGGCAGGCGAGTGCAAAACCCAAGTGCCTGCTTCATCACAAGGGATGGGCAGGGGCCAGGACCCCCTAACCAAGGGGTGGAGGAGGAGAGAAATCAGGTGCCTTGAAGCTTTTCAGGGGGCAAAAAGGGGGAATTTATGCAAAAAGAGGAAATTCATGCATAAAGTAGAGGGCTCAGTTTCGGTATCCCTGGCATCCATGTCACTGTTCCAGATTTACACCCTCGCAGCCCAGATCAGGCTCCAGGGTAGAAGGAGTGGGAGAAACAAAACACAATCAAAAAGCCAAATGCTATTGTGTTTCCTGCCAGAGCTGAACAATCTTCAAAATTTCACTCTGCGGGGAAGTAGCTGAGCTTTTCAAACCCCTCGAAGCTGTTGAAAAAGGGGAGGAAGGGGAAAGAAAAAGGAGACTCAGCACAGGTTTGGGGATCCTGCTGAGCCCCAACAGAGCCACAAAGCCATGGGAAGCAAAGGCAAAGTTCAGAGTTCCCCAAAGGAAAGGGTGTTTAGCAGGGGGATGGACACAGTGGGTACCAAATCTTGGTCCTCAACACACCTGAGGGGTCGGTGGGCTTTGCATGTTCGGCCCCCAGCTCCTCTCCCTGCCTTTACACCCGGGCAGAGCAGATCTGGGGTCATGCTAAACCAGCTCCAGAGATCACAGGATCCCCTACACATCACCAGATCCTTCCCATCCCTAACAGACATAAAAGTGACTCACACACCAGGTGATTTCAGCGGTTGTGCAGAATTTGGCTGCTTCATATAACTACCTGTGGTACATGTAGAGCTGCAGGGTTCATGGGAGGAAAGCTTCCACCTGTACATGTCAGCAGCACTCACACCTTGGCCCTTTCTTAACAACTTCAATCTGTTTCTAGCGATAAGCAAACAAAACAAAAGAAACAAAACAAAACAAACAAAAAAAGGCATTTACAAGGCGAGTGGTGACAGGCCACGACAGACACACACATCTGGCTGCAGTTTGGTCGGGTTTGGGTTTGGGAGGGGATGTGCTTTGTTTGGCCTTGTTTGGGTTTGGTTTTTCTGATTTTTTTTGGGAGGTTTGTTTGTTTGAATCAATTTTTATTATTTTTTTTTGTTTGTTTCACAACATACCTGTCCTGAGCCCCAAGTAGAATCCCCAGCCCGGTTAGAGGCAGAGCTTCCACTGTCTAGAAATAGAGAGAATGGGATAAAAATACCCACAAGTAGAAACAGTTCAGAATTTAACAAAAAAGTGTGCATTTTCTGCTCAAATACACCTGGCCCTCGGCATACAGTGACTAAAGGTGCAGTATCTCCTCCCCTGTGTCTCCAGGGCTGGGCAAACCAACTCGTGCTGCTCAATGCAGCAGAGATTTCGGCTGCTCCAATCTCCACAGCTCACTCCTTCCCAAAGCCAGCACGTGGCACAGGAGTTTATGAGCCGGTTTCTCAAAGCCCACTTGCCTGCCCGCTGCTTGTGTTTGCTTTGTGTTTGCTTTGGCTTATTTTCGTTTTGTTTCAGGCAGGTGATTTGCACCTCTCAGATCCACGCTGTGCTCAAACACAGAACGCCGTGGGGAAAGGAGTAAAGGAGTCAGCCTGGTGTACAAAAATGCATTTATCAAACCAAGATTAGCAGCTTCTCCCCGTTCAGTGCATCCTCCAGGCTGTGAGGGTGTAACACATCAGGGATACTGCACCTTTACAACAAAAGGCTTCGGTTCTGTTCTCATACCTTTGTTCAAACCCTTGAAACAGCTACACTGGAATAGCATACAAGGTTGTATCCTGATATCCAGTTGTCTCTGGCCTGGCGAGATATGCAGCTTGTATGATTTCTAGGCAGCAGAAGCTCTGAAATTGCCTTATTTAGTTGTTTGTAAGAAGTAGTTCAGGTCCAGCCTATCAAATCAACCTTTAAAAGGACACTGTTGAGAATCCAGCCGTTTCCTTTTGGACCCACCCTCCTTCCACCGCCAGCACTGAGCCTCCAGAAGGATTAAAAACAACAACAATCTCATTTTCCCTGTTGATTTTGCCTCTGTCAGTTTGGCAAAGGGTCGCTTCCTGCGTTTGAAATGGAACTGAAATGAATGTGACTTTTTTTTTTCTTTTTGTGGAAAAATAGCAACCTCAACTGACTATAAATAGTGTTTTATCTGCCACAGCAGCTCTGCCTGGGGACCCACACCAGCCCCTGGTCCCTGCCATGTGCCACCAGCAGCCACCCATCCAGGAGAGGGCTCACAAATGACATTTGTCAGTAAGATACATTAAAGTATAGTCAACATCTGCTTTCTGTGCTTTAATTTGCCTGGAAAAAGGGGTGTTACCCAGATCCTTCACTCTATACACTGCTCTGAGGTACCAAAGTAACTACCAGATTATCCTGTGACCCAGACTTCTCTCTCTTGAAAAGGAGAAAGTCTTCAAAAAAAGTTTTATCTGAGGACAGAAAAATCTTTCAACAGTGTCCCTTTAATGCATGTGATCCCAAAAAAGAGCTTCTATGCATAAGGAGGTCGCAGTGACAAGTTCTTTCCAGAGGAATCAGACATTTGGGCACAGGGCAGAGTTCAGCTCTGACCATTTCCAGCAAGGACAAAACTGTCCTTTTGTTCTCTTCTAAATGCAAACAGCAGCTCATTGTCCCATAAAACTGGGGAGATTTTTCTCTTTTATTTTGTTTTTTTTTCTTCTGTATTAAGAGCTTTATAACAAAGTTAAGTATTTTCTTCCCTGCCTGCACTTTTCATCTGCTTTTCAAGCAACAACAGCACCAAAAATTAGCACTGGTCCCTCATCCCTAGCTGAGGTCTAGGCTTCCCCTTTTCCCAAAACAGTACCTGTAGTAGAGAAATAATCTGAAAAATACACACAAACACCACAGATCAACATGCAGGGTCCCTGGGCTCACATTTCTTTGTTTAATTTCAGGGTTTTTTTCTAAGCAAAAGGGTGGCTTGTGTTGCAGGATAAGCCCTGGCTGCACACCACAGCACAGGATGAGGGATGAAGGCTGCCTGGATCTATCCCACATATCCCAGAAGGTTTTTAACCTGCTCCAGGAGAGAAAAAGCAGCACTGCATCCCTACCATGGCAAAAGAGTCACCCACCCATCCCCATTCCCCAGGGAAAACCTCTCTGGGAGAGCTCCTGCAAGGTGCTCCTGTAACTGGGTAACTCCACCCACACTAAGAGCTACAACAGTTCAGAAAGCAATAAACTCCCCCACCTCTAACCAACACTGTCCCACATGGACAGACTGGCTGCAAAGAGCTGATCTTCTCTTGCTTGTTCATTGACAGGGGATGAAAATGAGCAAAAAGACACCATCCATCCCAAACTGAGCCTGGGATGGATTTGGGAGGTCTCAAGTCCAAGCTCCTGCCCAGAACTAGGCTGACCCCAATAATAGACTGGTCCCACAGGGTCCTGCCCTTCTCCAAGGATGGAGATCCCTGAGCCTGCCCCACACCAGGGCAAAGAAGTTTTCCCTTGTGTCCCATCCCCATTTCCTCCAGCGCAGTTTCTGGCTGTCCCTCCAGCTCCCTTCCTCCTGATGGGACAACTCCAGCCCCCAAAGCTCTTCCCATGCCTCATGCTCCAGCCCCTTGCCCATGGCACACCAAACCCAGAACCACATCCCTCTGTCAGTACAGGCATTTTATAACATTTCCACTCAAAACTGGCATTAAAGCAATCCTGAAGGTCCCAGTATCAATCAATGAGCTGCTACTGCAGAGTTTGTGATATTCCTATCCAAGCAATGACTACTGTGCTGCTTCTGCAGCTGTTGAGGTAACAAACCCAGGCTACTCCTGCAGGACCTACAGTGGAGCTCCTGGTGTCCTGCTCTGCCTCTCCAACACCTCCCAGGCAGGGCCGTGCCTGGCAGGTGCTGGAAGGATGTTCCTGCCATCACATGGGAGGAGGATCACAGGTGGCAGTCAACAGGGTGGGTAAGAAGGGGCCAGGACCAACTTCTGCTGCATCAGAACTCGGAGGAAGGGGCTGGGGAATCGGATCAGGATGTCAAGAGAAGGCAAAAGGGGCCATGGCTCTGACAACAAGCTGTGACAGCAGAGAGCAAGGCCTAAGCTGACAAACATCAGCATGGACTTACCAACATGCCCACTCAGGAGGACAATTAGTTTTCCTCTTGCTTAAAAGCCCTCTTGACTTTCTGCTCCCAAACCTCTGGCCCTTCCTTCCAAAATTAACTCCCAACAGAAAGCTTTCACATACATCATCCTACCCCCACTTACCTTCTGCTTCCAAAGCAGAGAGAAACCATGCAGTGGGGTCTGCATTTCAGAGTTGAAAACAACACTAACTAGGAATTACTTTAATCAAAGACTTGTGTCCTACCTTGCTTTGTGGGTCCTGTTCCCTTGAGGGCTGCTCACGGTGACTGTGGCGTTGGAAAAGGGTGTCTCTGCTGACGTGTTGGTGGCTTTGCCGTTGCTCAGCTCCAGGTAAGTGCTGTTGATGGAGTAGGTCACAACCCCGTCAGTGTCCTCGTAGTCAACGTAGAGGCTGTCAATGTGTGACCCCACGGAGTTGATGGGGTCCCCCTGGGCAAAGATGCTGTTCACGGTCATGTTGAGCACCAGCTCCTTGGAGTCCGAGGCCTTGTCCAGCAGCTTGTCCGTGATGGCGTTCTCCAAGAGGAATTCCCTGGAGGAGAACCTGGGCTCGAAGTCTCTGCCGTCATGGTCTGTCTGGTAAGTAGACCTGGTTACGTTTGAATCTAGATTGGAGCCAACAGGAGGGGAAACAACAGTGACAACCACAAAATGCACTGAGCCTGGGAGGGGGAAGCAGCCCGGAGCAGCGGGGACACGCCGGAGCCTGAGCAGCCACCCGGGGGAAGAGAGGCAGGAGTTGGGTTCTTGGGGAGGGGGAATCTCACGGGATTGTAACCCTTTGGGAAGGGTGTGCGGCTTTGTGGGTCTTATTCCCGTTGTGGTGTGGCCAGAGGAGAGCTCAGCACCCGTCAGCACTGCCCCAAGCAATAGCAGAGGTCGGAAAGGAAGGTGCCCTGCTGGCCCCAGAGCACATGCAGCCATGCTGGGAAAGCACTCGAGGCAGTTTAGGGGTGGGATGCCCAAGGGATTTGAGTGGGAAGGAGATTGTTGGGGTCTGGGGAGGGGGGAGTCGACAGAAAATGTTGTGACGGGGAGTTTTGTGCACCCAGGGCTCCCTCCTGTCCTTGGCATGAGGCAAAGCACAGCAGGGCACTAGCAGGGAGACTTTACCCACTGTCCACCCTCCAACCCCCACCAGAAACCAGAACCTGAAGGGCAAAGAGGATTTATGAGCAGAGATGTTTTAAAGAACTTTCCAAGGTTTCCAAAACACAAACCAACAGAATCACCAGAGGTAGAAACAGAGCATTTCTCAACAAGAGCTCTGAGAAGCAGAACAGTGAGGCCCAAGTCTCCTCCTTACCTTGGGGTTGTTTGCCCTTCAGTTTTGGCTCACAGTCAATTGTTTCTGCTCTTTCATAGACCTCATTGGTTTCCTGACCTTTGCTCAAGTTTAAATCTTCCTCCGTGTCCTGCCTTCCAAACACCTGGTTCTCCAGGTCTATCCTTTCCGTGGAGATTTTCCCAAAATAGGTTGCATTGTGCTGGATAAAACCCAATGGCACGTCTCCATCGAACTCCCTGCTCTCTTCGCTGTCTGACTCGGAGAAGGTGTAGTAGATGGGCTGCAGATTTTTTGAGTGTGGCTTCCTCAGGAGAGTGTATTCAAACGTGATGGATGGGTTCTTGCCATTTTGATTCCAGACCTAGCAAACAAATTGAGTTATTAGCAGTTCCAGTGAATATATGGCTCACAAAGCTTGTGATTCGCCTTAGACTTGACAGTTGATAAGCATCCACTATGCTATTTCCAATCTGCTTTCCTTCACATTGCCAACTTCCTCCAACTGGAGCCCACCACGATTTTCCAAGGGTTATTTGGCAGCCCTGCCACGGGGATGAGTCCCAGCTCAGGGGACTGTGAGCCACAGATCACACTGAGTGACGAGAGACTTGGGGAGAGCCACCTCAGAAGTCACTGACCAAAAAGGCAAAGCACTTTTTTGTGGCTTTATGAAGAGCACACACCCTCTGCAGCTACTACATCCACAGTGGGGCTGGGGGCTCCTAGCTGAGGCACTACAATCTCTTACTGGTCTAGTGCTTTATAAGCACCCAGGCAACCATCCCTTCCCCTTCCAGAGGAGCCTGGGGCTACATGGAAGATCTCAGGAGCTGGGTTCTGGCTGGCTGCCCAGGAGAAAATTAAGGGACTTTTCTCCAAATGCCTGGTTTTAGATGGTTTGCTTTCAGGAAAGAATTTGGGTTTAAGTTTTATGTACTTGTCTAAGCTCTCTGGCCCAATTTCTTATTTTCACTTTTCCTGCCAGGTAACTTGGATAAAAATGCCAAGGAGTAGAAGAGAAATCCCCCTGCAGTGCCTGAGGCATCTTCTCCCTGCAGAGAGGAGTTACCAAGCCCACATTCATTACCCACAGCCCTGCCTGCATCTGAGAGCACCAACACAAACTCAAGTAGCTTTGTGTAAGTAACTGGTCACTGCTCCCACTCCCCTCCTCGAGCTGCCCATGTGGCAGGACTCTGCTTCCATGCCCACCCATTCTTTGACCCATTACAGGTTTTCTCTTCCCCATTACCCCCAGCCTTGAGAACTTGATTTAAAAAAAAAAAAAAAATTCAAAGCTCACCATTATATTCAGCCCTTGATTTGTTGGTCCTTGGGCAACAATGTACTCGATGCCGGTCTCGTACACGTCCATGGGTCGGCGGTACTTGAACACCGTGCCTGCAATGTTGAAGTTCTTTGGACTGTCAACTTTATAGTTCCCATTGAAGAAATAGTACCCAGCTTCATCAGCCACAGCTTCAAATGAGAGAGAAAAGTCAGGGCCATCACATGCAAGGGCCCCTTGTTCATTCAGGGGATAAAATCAGTAATAAAACAAGCAATTCTCCCACACTGCAATGCACTGGTCACTTATCTCCAACACAAATCATACAAGAACATGCCCAGAGTTCTGGGCCATGTGTACATTGCAAACTCCTGGGTATGTGGCTTTCACTTGCCCACGGCTCCTCTCACCCTTTTGGCACTAGCACAGCATGAACATTTAACAATCCCAGCCCTGCAGACAGTGAGCAGCCTGTCACATGGCCAAGGGCAGGAGCTGTCTCCTTGGGAGCCCTGAGCTGATGCCCCCTGAGCTAGCAGTGGCCCAAAATAGGTCACCTAGAGCTAGCCCAGGAGCTGTTAACTAAATCAAGCCTTTTTCATTCACTGAATCATCCTAGAATGGTTCGGGCTGGAAGGGACCATAAAGCTCATCTTGTTCCAATCCCCTGCCACGGGCAGGGACACCTTCCACTAGACCAGATTGCTCAGAGCCACATCCAACCCAGCCTTGAACACTTCCAGGGGTGTGGCATCCACCTTCCTGCTCATGGCACGAGCCTCTGAGGCAGCAGAGCATGACAGCAGCAAATGTGCTTCTCTTGGGCAAGTCCAGATTTTCCCACACTGCTCCCAAGCAGCTTTGCCACCTCCAGCGTGAGATGGATGGTGTGGCCACCAACAGTTCAGTGAGGCAAAACACGTAGATCACACCTCCTTGGCGCTGTTTTCATGTGGCCATTGCACATTCTCCAAGTGGGAGAATGTCAAGGGGATCACAAGAGAGGTGAAGTCACTCACCCATCTGTGATCCAGCACCAGAGTGTTTGTCATACCACACTGAAACCACAACAATTCTGATCAACAGTTCCCGCATTAAAGCAATCAAAGTGTTGATAAACACAGCCCAGGTGCTCAGAGATTGCAGAGAGGAGCAACACACCAGGTTAGACAACATAGCTGGATTTACACTGACTACAGATTTAGTTCATGTCTGCAATAAATGGACTCGATGATCCTTGTGGGTCCCTTCCAGCTCAGGATATTCTAGGATGACAAAACCGCTTTCAGCTTCGCATCGGAAAAAGCATTATCCAGCCATAGGCATGCATCCTAGGGAAGTACCAAGAGGTTATACACACCCAGAACATCTGCAGACTTTTTCCGTTCCACTATCTGGATATCCCTCGCTCCGGCGGGAATGTGAGTTACCAGAGAGTAGCCTACGGGAAACTACGGATTAATGAAAGGATCTTTGTAACAAATAATCTGAATGAAACGCTCCACAGTCAGTACTGCAACATAGCAAACACTCAGGCCTGGGCCCAAAGTTATTTTTAAGGAGTTATGGATTTAAAAACAAACAAACAAACAAACCTAATGTTGATAATTGTGAAGCTGAAAATATGACCTTGTTGATAATAGGAAAGCGTGTGAACTGTTTGTCCTGGTTTATGCCAAAGGGGGGAAAGGATGCAATCCTTACATGCACAAAGATCATGTTTCTCAAAACCAGTGTAAGAAAAAGCTGTCTTCAGATATCAGTTAGAGAAGCTGGCCCATGGTTCAATATTGATCCCATTGTCAGCCAGTCTTTCTGAAACACCAGCAAGAAATTAGAGTTGGTTTCTCCTCTGACTCCCCTTTGCTTAACACTAGGCAAGAGATGGGATGGGACATGTCCCCCTACAGCCCCTGAGGTTCCTGCAGCTTGCTCCATCTCAAACTGATCCTCAGAGAGCATTAATCATAATTCCTGAGTTAGACTGTTATATTTAGGACAAGTAGGTTCTGCTGCTTTACATCACACTAATTATTGAAATCCTGGTGTTTCAAAATATCACTGCTTCCTGTTATTACAAATCATTTATTTCTAGTCTTACTGGGTCATGAGTGTCCTGGTTTTGGCTAGAAGACTAAAAAAGACTAAAATAGACACCCGCCTCTTGCATAACCCTCTTGCACCAATCAAAACCAGAGACACTTCTGGTTTCTGACAACTATCATGCAAAATTCCTGCTTGTTTAGGTTTTTTTTTTTAAACAAGGCTTTCTCTGCCCAAATTTACGAGTAGCATTAACACCCATAGAACATGTGGGGAAAAAAAAAAACCCCTGAAGCTGGGCAGTTGGTAAGGGTGGATGCAATTAAAGCCCAAGGTCCCCAAGGCCTTACCAAGATGAGAATTTCCTTTCCGGTAACTGCCGGTTACGTGGGTGCAGCTGCTCCCATCTCCTTGGCAAACTCCACATTTATCCAAGGTGTGGGTGGAAAAGAGAATGCCATCGCAGCCAATGGGCTAAAAAATGCACAAATAGAGCATTGAGGGTCAGGCAAACGTCGCACCATCGCAATTTTCTGAATGCTACTAACAATATTTTTGCTATAATGTTTAACAACCTCACATTTTCCAGACACGCAAACCCCTCGGAAATCAGTGTATTTGCAGGATGTTCCATCCCGAGCCTGAACCATTAACTGTCTCTGACCATCCACAGTGGTGCAATGAAGGTCACAGGGCTTGCTAGAAATGTGAACATAGTCATCTGAGGGGAAAGGATATAAAGAGACATTCAAAACCAGCAGAAACACAATAACTTTCATCCTACCGAAGTCAAGGAACCTCTGCCAAGCTAAACAACAGCAGCAACAGCACAACTGCAGAGCAGCCAACAGTGCAGAAGTTGCCACCTCTTGTGTTTCAGGCTAGACAGGAGGTGGCACTTCTGACAGTGTAACAGCCCTCTGCTGCAAGGCTTTGCACAGCCTGGCAGACCTCTCTGCTGCCAGGAGGAGATGCCCCAGGGATGCCAGTGGCATCACCAGCATCAGCCCAGGGCAAGCACCAAAGCAGCAACACTGCTCTGTGCAGGGACTTGCAGTAGTGTTACATGTGCACATTGCAAAAAAACATGCATTTTCGCATAGCAACACTTCATGCAGGAGTTAAATTAACAGATGTATCGTTAGAAAGACATGTGTAAGCCTATATTCAAACTCACAGCAATTTAAAACATTTTATAATATATAAGTTTTCCATAAACATTCACCTCCACGTTGGACTTAATTCACCCTTTGCTTTCTGCAGATAAAACTGGCTGGCAGCATCCACCAGCACAGCAGTCCCACATTTTACAATATCCACAGGAAGCAAATTACAAACTCCTATTTGCACCAGAAAACACGATGCCAAGTGTTTATCTCCCCCAGCTCCTGAGCAGTCATGTACCCCCACTGGCCTGTGCTCCCAAGCAAGGCAGCATCAGTGTCAAAACATTACTGTGCAAATCCCCCAGGAGCCACGTGAGCACCTGATGAAACACAAAGCAACTCACTGCAACATCCCTGGTGAATCAGCCAGAAGAGCAAATATGTTTAGAAAAAACTGTCATCTTGCCACAACAAAGGGACAAAGCCACCAAGGAGCTACAGCTCATGGGCCGAGTTCTACCCCACTGACCCTGCCAAGGCTGGAGAGGGAGGGGCTTGTTACACAGCAAAGCAGGTGACAAGTGATTTAATGGAGAATAACTGTTCTTAGATATGGACAGAGACCCTTAATATAAAGTTGCAACAGATCCCATCTCTTTTCAGGCACCCAAATGGCACTGTGAGTCTGAAGAAGCAGCACTCAGTAGCCTCCTCATCAGCAAAAGGGTCTTGAGTACCCAGTAGCTCAAAAACTTGGCCATGATTTGTGTTTAATGCTTGATTCTGGTGGGAGTTCAGTGCCTAAAACTCAAACAAAATCTCAGTCTCTGACTCCCAGGTTGTTCCTGCAGTTCTGTGTCGCTCACCCCGGGTGACCAAACTGACTGACTGAATTTGGGTGACTTTTGACAGAGCACATGGAGGGCGTGGGAGTGACAAATGTCACTGAAACACAGCATAACCAGTAATGGCCCCAGCTCAAAGGACACTGGGGTGAGCCTGACCCTCCCTGCCAGCACACCCCATCACCCCATGCTCTCACATCCTCCTCCAGCCCCTCTGGTCCCCAGGAGCTGAGAGCAACACTGGCTACAGCCTCAAATTCATGTTATTATTTAATTTTTAAGCTGCCCTGCAGCTGCCAAACATGCCTTTGAAGCTGGGGCAGCTGATTGTGCCTCTGAAAAATCATTTTGAAACAGCAGAGGAGGAGCCTTCCTGCAGGCTGTAGCATCATAACTATCAAAATATTTGCCTGAGCATTATGAAACACACAAAGAATGTCTTGTTACCAGGATATAAAGGTTTCCATTGATATGTTCTGCCGTTATACACATGGGAGTTAAATGATGAGCACTGCTCCTCTCGAAAGCTCCTTCCGTTCGCAGGGCACTCCTAGAATAGGATACATTAACATCCTGATGGAAACAAAGTGCGGGAAAAGTTTCTGGCACATCTCGACCAGCTGCAAGGAGTGTTTCCACCACCTTCTTCCCCATCCAGGGCCATATCCTCCCCCTCCTCCTTCTCCTCCCACCACTGCAGGAACAGCCAGGGGGAACGCCCCGAGAAATGGTGCAATTATCACCTACTCTGGGGTTTTATGGCCCCCAGCAAAGGCAAAAGGCCCAAAGTCCTGACATAATGGTGATGGGCATTAAAGAAGGGGACTCCCGGTTGCTTGGAGGGGCAGCAGGGTGACAGCTACAGGGCAAGGGATGTTGCCTCTCCAAGGGACCCAGAAATGCCATAGGTGACTTCCCACACTGAGTGTTCCTGACAAGACAAAGCATATCCTTACCTGTACTTTGCAGAGCTGGTATCTTTTGGATGTTCCAGTGCAAGTTTTATTGGCCAGACCACTCACCGACTTTCTTCTGAGTAAAGAAATGATGGTTAGACAAGGATCAGAAACAATTTTCCCTTTTTTAGATATATTTGTCCCGTGTCTGCTGCCCTGCTGCACTAATCCCTGCTGGAGACACTGCAGGGCCAGCACAGGAGTAGCTTGGCTGCTGCCCCTGGCAGGGATGCCCAGGGCACAGCATCCTCAGGGACGCACCTTCTGCCCGAGCAGGGCTCACCAGACACCTTTCTATCAGTCCTTATTCACTGAGCAACAACATTTTGGATCAAGGAGCTGGAATCTCCCCCCTCCTACCCCAGGTGAGTGCTGTACCTCTGCCGCAGGCAGTGCCTCTCCTGGGATTTGACACCTCCCCCACAGGTCCTGGTACACGCCGTCCACTTGGTCCACTCGCCCCACCAGTACGCCGTGACGTCTGCCCCCTCCTCCAGGCTGTTGGAGGTCTGTGTCAGGTCCTGCTCAGAGCACCAGGCAAGGCAGGGTAAGAGAAGCAGCAGTCAGTGTCCACACCACAGAGCCCGGGTGAGGGCACTGAGGGCACCCCCCTCCCAGCCTGCCCTGCAAGACCGGGGCATTGCCTTCTCCAGCTGAGGTCACGTCTGAGGTTTCCATCCTGCAAGAAGTCTTGCGTTTTTCCAATTGTGTTTTCATTACAAATTGGAATGAATAGGCAATATTTGGGATTCCTCAGGAAAGGAAATGCTCATTGTTTCGCTCAGTTGGCAAAACCGAGCTCCCAAACAACCCCAAGCGCTCCAAGACTTTTGGTGCTCTCTGACTCTTGTTCCACAGAGAATTCAGGGAGCTGAAAAGCCAGTTGCAGCCAAAAGCCTCACTGAAAGCTTCAGCAAACCCTTGCAAAACCCCTCTGCAGCAGGAGAGCGTGTTAGTGGGTGCCACTGGGTGCCAGCAGGCTGGAGGAGCCTGTGTGCTCTCTTTGCAAGAACAGGTTTGTCACTTCAGGAGGGTCCCCAACACCCCCATGTCCCACCCCCTGATGTGACCATGCAGGGGCCAAATGAGATGCATCCACATCCCTTACCAAGGGACATAGAGCCTGGTGGTTGGATCCCAGCTATTGCTCATTGCAGGGGGATGGATGTAATTTTTTCACCCAGAATCACCTGCTGGTTAGGGGAGTGCTATCATTTCTCTGCTTACTGGAAAAGGGATAAAATTATTCTATGTGAAGTAAATGAAAGCTCCAGCCACTGCAGGGACCAAGGAGTGATGCTCACCCTAGAGCAGGGCTCAGCCTCTCGGAGCCTTTGAAATGACCTGTGAATGCTGATAGCCATGAAAGTACAACCTTACTATTGTACCTTGTAAGATACAACTTACAAGCCCGAACTAGAGAGCCAAACCGTGACAGAAAGCTCCACGCTTTCTGGAGACCTGATGCGTGCACAGAGCAGTCCTGCAAAAGCCCCAGGGTTTGCCCTGTCAGACACTGCAGCATTTTAAAGCCCAGGGACCCCCCAGCAAGGCGATGTTCTTACCTGAGCTATCACAAAGACCACGTTGCCCACAAGAAGAAGGGCCAGGGTGCCTTTCAGCTGCGATCGGGCGCTGATGGAGATGCTGCTCCACCTCCACTTAGATACCTTCATCCTAGAAGGCAACCAGACACTGCTCTAAGCAAAAACCCCACGCAGCCCCACCAGCAGCAGCAGGGGCTGCTTTGCTGCCTGGGTTACACAGCACATGTGTTCTCCAGCACTCCTGATCAGCCAAATGACACCGGCCTCCAGTGGCTGCAAGGGCTTGAACCTGAAGTTACATTTAATTAGTGGAAGCATTAACACAGTACAGGTTCACTTCCCAGCTCTGTTGTTACCTGTCAAACCACAACTTTGCGCTGGTTTCCAGTGGCTGCACCTGACACCACTCCAAGCCTGTCTTGCAAGAGAGCACGACTTACACCAAGGCAAGAGTTGCACAGCAAGTAACTAGAAGTGTCCCTGGATCTATAAAAGCAGTGTATTTAAATATCCTCATTTACAGAACTGCTCCTGGAATAATGAGATGAAAGGCTTCATAAACAAAAAAAATGCAATTAACAGCCATTATTTCTCCTTTTTTCATTTGTTCCACTCCAATTCCCATCGATTCCCAGGGAAGGAGCCTGTTCTTATAGAAAAGAAATGCCCCACAATTAAAGAGCAGAAATGAAGTATCCCAAGTGTCAGCCTTTCATCTCTTTCTCCATCTGCCTCATGAAAGAGAGTAGCCCAGAATGGCATTTTCTTAAATAAAACCCAGCTCAAAACCACAATACGTTTTATTGTGAACCTCACTGCAAGAGCCAGAAAGGAGCAGGTTTCAGGAAATCATGCTTCCAGGCAATCAAAGCAGCTCATGTCTGTAAGAAAAGGAAAGAAAAAATATCCTCCCCTAAGCTAATTTCCCTTGAAAAGCAGCTAGGCAGTATATCTGTGGGAAGCGGGGGGTGGGAGAGGTGCTGCTCCTGAGGAGAGGGGGCAGGACTGCAGACCTCAGACCTGCAACATAAAGAGCTTCTTTCCTATGGTTTTTTTTTTTTGTTTTTTTTTTTTTTTTTTTTCTCCTAGCAAAGGTTTTTGTAGCGGTTTTGGAAATGCAGAATTGCCAGCAATACCAGCACTGCTTTGGCATCTGGCTTAGAAAAATTACCAGAGGGCTTCCAGGTCCCCAAATCCGCTCTGTGAGCACCCTAGGGGAGAGGTCCAGCATGCAAAAGAGACTTTCCAAGAGGCAGATCCATTGATTAATGGGAGCCCAGAGCGCTTGGCCGGGGATCCCGGGGACAGGTGGCTGAGACTTGCCTTACACTTGGTTCTCATTAAGGCTCCCAGACACTCCTGACTCGAAGCCAATACCAGAGCGCGCTCGGAGTTTATCCTACAGGCGGTCGGGGCTGCGTGGTTAAATAGAGGAAAAAATTAAGGAAAGCGGGCAGGGATGTGGCCGAGCAGCATCGCGGAGCCGGCACTGGGGGAGCGCCGGCGGTGGGAGGGCGATGCGGAGGCGATGATGCGGAGCCGGGATGCGGGGCTCGACCTCCCCGGGGCCGGCAGCGGGGAAGGGTCCGGCGGAGCCGGGATGGAACGGGACAGGACGGGACAGGACGGGACGGGCCGTACCTGGCGGCGGCGGGGCCGGGCGGGACGATGCTCCGGGGCCGGGCGGCAGCGGCGGCGGCGCGGAGCGGAGCGGAGCAGCGGCGGCCCCAGACGCTCCCTCCCTCCTTCTCCCTCTCCCGACTTCAAAGGGCAGCCAAAAGCGCCGGGGCTTCCAGCGAGGAGGAGCCGCCGCAGTGGCTCCCCCCAGCCCGCGCCGGCCGCTCTTATAGCGGCGGCGAGGGAGGGGGGATAAGGGGGAGAGCGGGCGGAATTCACACCTCTCGGCCCGGGATGCCCCCACCCCGGTTAACCCCTCGCCTCCCCCGGCGCCGGCCCGCGGCCGCCAGCCGGTTTCCTGCGGCGAGACCGGGGGGGCACAGGCGGGGGGAGCCCGCAGCGCACGCATGCGTTCCCTCCGGTCCACGCAGCGCTGGTCCCCCACTCCCGGGCACCTCCCGGGAGGATGCTGCGCTCCCCCACTTCCCGGGGTACACACCGGGAGGATGCTGCGCTCCCCCTGCTCGTGGACCCCCGCGAGGATGCTCTGCTCCCCCCGCTTCCCGGCCATCTCCCGGGAGGATGCTGCGCTCCCCTCCTCGGGTAGGGGAACGCTACCTGCTGCCCCCCCACCCCCTACACCCACCCCCGCATCGTCGGCCAAAACACTCCCGGTACCTCGGGGTGGGCACCGCGCGGCCGCATCCTGCCTCTGGGAGGGCAGAGCGGCGGGGTGGTGGTTGGATACAGACTGCCAGGCTTTTAATTTCACTTTCTGCTGAAAAAAATAAACCAAATCTTCGAGGTTCTGGGATTTTTGGGGTTGTTTGCTGAGGCTCGGTGTCAGTCGTGCTGCTTGAGACAGTTTTCTGCCACGCAGAAAAAATGGGGTCAGAAAATCGGCTTGGGGCACGTGAAGAGCCATTTTGGATGAGAACAGGCACCCTGGCTCAGTGACAGCCGTGCACGGGTTGTATCTGATCTCTGTGTGTGTTTGTGAGAGAGAGAGAAAAGCCTGTGGATAAAGAAGGCCACGGTTACACGGTGTGTATAACCTATATACGATATATCTGGTCTGTTCTCTGCAGTCTGTACGTGTAAAACGTGATGAGGCTCCTCATCTACGTGGTGACACATTCCTATGCATTCCTCAGCAAGTCCCCCTAGCACAGGCACTGGTGACATCCCAGCAGCTCCGAGCAGCCCACCTGAACAATCCCTCCATCCCAACCAGAGATTCTTCAGCTCAAGCATTTCCTCCTTCGCCCCTAGACCTGCCCTGCCTGTACAGGGCTAAACCAGAGCTCCCAGTGCACTGGTCTGCACCCAAGGCCATCACTGGAGGTTATGGCAATGGCTGATCTTGGACCTTGGTGGCAACGTTCAGCCCTGTCACCATTTGCCATAGGCCAGGAGTGCTCATCTGCAGGGCCTCGGGGAGAGTCCCACCCCACCACGGGGCACAGATCCCCACACAGCTCCCAGCACTCTGCAGGGAATCACTGCAGGCCCACGCTGTTGTTAATTTGGACTCAGTCCTCCCAGGGATGTCTGTGTGACAGAGAATCCATCCCAAAAAATTTACATGGGAAATGAAGTCTCCTTTTCTGTTTGGCTAAATGTCTGCCAGCCTGTTCTAATTTACCCAGCCAGGTTGATTTGCAACTTTCAATTTTCCATCGGTTGGCTGTGACCAGGACACTGGGAAAATTTAGCACTTGAGTTCACCCAACTTCTGCATTTCAAAATATCCCAGCCCGAGACACGCAGGAGAAAACCCTTTCCGTTTTGGAACAACCAGGAGGGAAAAGTCTGAACACGAGAGGTTTTAAAGGCATCGAATTATTTCACATTGAGAACTCCAGAGCAGCTCAGGTCCATGTGAGCCTCAACATCCCCCCAGCCCTGGGGCTTGGCAGGAGGTGGGACCCCAGGAGACCCCATGCCTGGGTGAGCCCCATTCTGCTGCAGGGATGCCCCTGGCTGGGCAGCACCAGGGGGATGAATGCAGGAGGGTGGGAAGGCTGATCCCGAGGCAAGGGTAACCATCAGACACATTCAGTCTGTGCTTCACCAAAAGTTCATCAAAGCCAAAGCATTTTTTTTTAATTTTTCTTTTTTTTTTTAAATGAAACAGTTGAGATGACTCAGCGGTTTCTGACGCAATCCCCGTTTCATCGGAAAATTCCTAACCAGCTCCTGGTAGCAACTGATTGCTCCCATAAATCACACGGTGTTATCCCTGGCCACGGCAGCGCAGCTTACGCCGCCCCAGCCCATCCTCGTGAGATCAGCAGGAGCGATGGCAGCGAGAAACAGCCCCGAGAACAAAATGCATCAGAGACCAGATCCAAAACACAAGTTTCACACCAGCCAAACCCCACAGCTCCGGTTCCTGCCACCCTAAAGCCCCCCCTGGGGCCAGTGCTGCCCCCCAAGCCCCGGGGCTGCGGCAGGTACGGCATTAATCACCGGCGGCCCGGCTCAGACGACAGCAGGTTTTATCTCCCAGTTTTTGGCAGAAGTGCTAGAAATGGTTTGCAGATGTTATTTACTGCGTTTGGGCTTGCAGTAAATTGAGACAAGATGCACCTGCATGGACAGCGAGAGGTTTTCCCACCCGGGACAGTCGCTGAGGGCTCACATTGGACTTTCCCAGGGAAATTTAGAATTCAGATGAGGGTCCCTTATCCAGCCCTGCTCCCTGCATCCTGCACTTCAGCAAGGCAATCCAGTGATCCCGGTGCTGCACATTCATGTCTTGACACCACCCAAGGAGGCTCGGAGACTCAGTGACATGGGGACAGTGGGCTCGTGCCCTGACAGCCACTCTAAAGGACACAGAGCAGAAATCTTCCAGGCTTTCCATCCTAAACCAGTGCCGTGCATAATTCAGAGTGAAAAAAAAAAAAAAAAAAAAAAAGGAGCAACAGACACTCCAAAATAATCTCCAGTCGGGGAGAGTCGCCGGCGACTGGCTGCTGGTTTGGCCGGAGAAGTGCCTGCAGAGGAAAGGAGTTTCCTTGGCTGAAATGAGTTCAACAAAGTGCTGGGCTGGGCACTGGTGATGCTGGCAGGAGCTAGGGGTGCTCAACCAAGTGGAGAGTCTGTATGTTCTGCAGGATCAGGCCCCCTCTCACCAAGGGAGAGCTGGGGGAATCCCTTTGCTGGGGCAGTTTTGTGTAGTAGAGGCATCTCCATCCTTGACTGGGAGCAGAGAGTGATGGTAAGCTCTGACCCAGGCACAAGACATTGACTGCCTCTCTGTGCTTCCCATGGTGGGACACCCTCCCACCCTGTCCCAACACCAGCCCTCAGACCCACCAGGGCTGACACCCAGCTCCACTGAGCCCCAGGCACAGCCCTAGAGCAGCCCCCCAGGAGTGATGTTACCACAGGAGCTGCTCTCAGTGAGCCAGAGCCACTGCCTGGCCACGGGCTGTGGTGTTCCAGCACCACTTTCCCAGCAAAATTAGCGCTTTCCTGGCTCAGCCCTTGTGCTGGCACAGCAGATGGTATGGCTCTGCCACAGCCAGCTCCACTGGAATGCCTGCTCAGGTCCAGGAGAGCCAGGCTGGAGGAGGAGCAGGAGTGTGGTCTGGAGTCTGTTGGCCCAGGATCCCCCCAGCAGCTTCGACTTCGCTCAGCGACGAGACAACTAATTGGTCTTCTTCCTTTTCAAGACTGCCTGCAGAAGTGACCCGTTTGTCTCACACTTCTGCACAGCTACACCAGTTACTTCCAGGCCAGACTGGCGTGGCCTGGGCAGGTTTAAGCCATCCACCGAGTGGGTGAGGTCCCTGCACGGACGGAACATTGCCAGGGGGATAAAAATGTGGCAAAGCCACCAAAAAAGCCCCTGGCAGCCAGCCCTACCTTCTTCTCAAGAGCTGCAGCTGTGGCCTGCCACTGAGTGACTAAAACAAGCAGAAGGAGACCAAAAGAAGTGTCCTTCAGAGACAGTCCTGGCCCCTTGCAGAGTGACCTGCGGCGCAGTGTTGGGCAAGACAGTTGCTCCCTGCGTGCCTCCATGCAGTGTGGATGGGGATGATTTATCACGAGGGTTTCACCCATGGAGATTTGCAAAATATTGAGTCAAACTGAACAAGCCAAAGCCACCGAGCTGCTCTCGCCATCAGATTCCCATTAAAAATATCTCTGGGCAGTTTGAAAGCCACAGGCGACCACAGTGACCCCAGGTATGGCCATGGCTGTAGAGTTTCAGCGGCATTAAAGGCCTCCCCTTTTCTGTGCAGACTTCAGTTTTACCCATCCCCAAAGATTACACGTTCCTGCAATAACCTGCAGGAGCTTCCAGACGAGTCACGCTTGGTTCAAAATTTTAGCTATGCAAAGATTTAAGAAAAAAAAAAAAAAAAGTACAAAGGCTTTTCTTTGACTGGAATGAGCCTCGCATGGAAGTTGAGCAGTATTGTGCTGAGGGCCATCAGCTATGCAGAACTGCCAACCACAGGCACTCAAAAATCATGAGTCAGACTCCCCAAAACCCTAAGACTGGTTTCATTCCCTTTTTGGATTTTGAGCCTTGGAGCATCAGAGCTTCAAGCTTTTCTCTTCAGAAAATGACATTTTTGGGACTAACAGGGTGAGAGCTGAGACCCTCAGCATCGTTACTGGGCTCCAAGAGTTATGACTGTAAAAAAAAAACCATTAAACACCAAGAAATGAGCAATAAACCCCTGCACTGCCTCTGTGAATTTGGTGGTGGGGTGGCCACCCCAGGACACTCTAAAGGTACGAGCAATAGAAAACTGGTGACAAGAAATGAGATGTCCTTATTATTAATAGTGAGGTGCTTGTCATGGGCCATGACAGGGTAGAGAGGAAAGGGGAGATGGAAAAAAAAACTAAGGAAAACAGCAGCAGGGATACCTACAAGTAACATGCATAATAGGTTTATTCAACAGGGAGACGGGAAGGGGGATTTTTTTTTTTAAGGGCAAGTATTCAGCTGAAGCTGCCTAAAATGGGGCCAGGCCTTATGGAGAATGGATATTTTAAGTGGCAATTTATTCCACTAATAAAATAACAAGGATGCAGGTGCTTTGGCAGGGCTGGGACCAGGAGTGGGTGAGGGCTGTGGTTGATCAGAGACAGGGCTGCAGCACCAGCCGTGCAAGGGCTCTGGCACAGCTGGTGGCTCTGCCTTTATGGGGCTCTTTTCCCTGGTGCCAGGGCCTGTGTCTGGATTCCAGCTGTCCAGAAAGTGCTCCCCACACCAGCGTCCCACCAACAGCCCTGAGCAGAGGCTGTGGTGGG